TTTTTTGTGACAAGGTCTCACTAAATTTTCAAGGCTGGCCTCAAGACTGCCTGCGATCTTCCTGTCTCAGCCTCTCAAATCACTGGGATTATAAGTGTGTGCCACAGTGTCTGGCACTTATTGTTAGTCCATAATAAACATAAAACATGAATTCTAACTTACACATGTTCTCCTGTCTCAGCCTCCCAAATCACTGGGATTATAAGTGTGTGCCACAGTGTCTGGCACTTATTATTAGTCCATAATAAACATAAAACATGAATTCTAACTTACACATGTTCATCACCATTTTTTCTTTCTTTTTTTATTTTTAAGAAATAAGAGTCTTGTGGTATTGCCCAGCTAGCCTCAAACTCAGCCTGGAGAGTTCTTCAGGTGCATAGCACCAAACACAGCTCATCACTAAAGTTGGGGGTCAGAGAGCTTATAATTCTGACAAGTTCTACTGAACATGATTTGCAAATTCTAGACTTTAAAGCATAACTGACATTAAGCAGTCTATTGCAGTCCAACAAAATGCATCTTATCTTCCAAATAAAGGCAACATAGCTTATTCCTTCAATTAAGAATCACTTTTGGAAGTTTCTGAATTCTTTGAAATGAGAAAGAAAGCAGCTTCCCCATATTTCAGATGCAATTTCCTTGCTCATTCATTAATTTATATCACAAAATAATTCATGTTCCTAAGGAATTTAATTTCTCTGGTAAAAACATACACATTAAAAATGTCTTTCTTGCCAGATATAGTGGCATAGCCTATAAAACCCAGTGACTCTGGAGGCTGAGGCATGAGGATCATGAGTTTGAGGCAGCCTTAGCAACTTAGCGAGACCCTGTGTCAAAAAGAAAGTAAAAAGATCTGAGGATGTAGTTCAGTAGTAGAGTATCCCTGGGTTCAATCCCTAGTGGGGGTAGGATATCCTTCTTTTCAAAAAAGTTTAGTTGCCAATATTTAAGAACAAAATATAAAATATAAAGATTAACTTAGTAAATTGGGAAATTTGAGACTAAGAGACTTCAGGAAACTGAAACTAATTAAAAATGATATACATATAATTAATGTGCATTACACTTTAAATTTTTAACTAATTAATTTATTAATTAATGCTGGGGATTAAAACCAGGACCCTACACATGCTAGGTAAGCATCTACCACTGAGCTACAACCCCAGCCCAATTATATTTTTTAAAAAATATAGTACTTTTAAAATGTTTTACTTGTTAACCAAAAATTAAAATGCTCAAAATAATAGCTATTTTAAAAAAGAATGTCCTTTCAACTTAAGCAATTTTTCTCAATTCTATCAACATAATAGGTTTATCAATATTGCTACAACAATACTGAGGATACAATACAGTCATTACTTATTATATGCAGTATTGAAGGATACAAAATCAGTCTAAGTTAGGTCTTTTCTTCTCTCTTACTATTTAGAACTTCGAATATTCAAATAAAGTGTTATCATTTATCTAATAAAAATGTTAAAACTGAATAACTGATGTGTCTTAAATTCCATGTTCAGTTCTAAAAAAGTTG